ATTATTATTAAAAAAAATGTTCTGGGTGTGTCATCAGTATGCTGATTCTGCATTTCATATAGAATAAATATTAGATGCAGTTTGAACATATCCAGAGAGTGCCATGTAGGGAAGAACCAAAGGTCAGACAGAAAAAGGAAGATTTGGAGAAGGAATGTGGAAGAAAGTTACAATGTTAAACGAAGTGATTTAATTAAAAAAAGTTCCGCTCTTAGGAATGAAAGAAAAATGCAGAATCTAATCATAAAAGAATGACCACCATATCTGCATTTCTCATTAAAAGACTTTTTTTCATCATTCTAGCAGAATAATGGCATTTCACTTTCCATTAAAGAATAGAAGAAAAGAAATAAACCTGAGCAGTAGAATAGAGATGAAAGTCAATGGAACAAGAGAAAAATAAAAGATACCAAAAAATGGAAGTTTCTAAAATATTTTCAGATGTGATCTTATAATAGAGAGTTCTTTGCTGCAATTGCTGGCCACAGGGGAAAAATGTAATTACACACCTTATATAATACAATAGGATTGCACTGCTGGTTCAGTATTTGGAGAAGTGTTGGCTCCACAGTAGAACTGGACTACCAGTTCCATCATCTCTTATTTTGGCTTACCATGTTTAACGTACCTGTACTTCCCTTCACCCAGTATTCTCTCAGAACTATTTTGCTGATTTCCTTCATCTGTTCATCAGATAGTTGCTTACTGATATCAGGAATGACTGTCATTATTGTATATACAGCCTCGTGCTCTTCTTTAGTTCTTAGAATGGGCCTGTGGGGAAAAAATGGATAGAAAATAATAGCATCACCTCTTGCCTTCTAGTTGCATAGGTGGAAGAATTGCCCCAGGATCTGAGAAACTTTAAGCCAAGTGTCAAGATATTGCGTCCCTTGCTAAAACACAACTCCTAAATGCACCAGCTAAGGTGAGGGATGCTAAAAATAATAGTTCAGCAACATAAGGAGGGCTGGATATTCTTCACCCTGTTTTTAGAAGTCAGCAATACAAGTCTGAGTATCAATGTGTGTATTGGGAGAAATGAATTTCATAACTTGTTTTGAATAAGGCCAATCCTTGGTTGGGATATTCTAATTTAATAGACTGGTATGACTGGAGGATGAAGTGGTACCTGGATTTTCCTTCCATTTACATCCTTCTGCAGAGTTCTGCAGAGGCTACAGCTCTGACTTCTAAGAAATACCATTGATGTCATGGCTGAAAACAAGGTGCTACTGAAGCTTTCTCTTATCCCTTATTTTTCTCCACATGGTCACAGGGCTTGAGTATTTTAATCCAAGATGTTCACTGGCCTCAAATTGTATCCTGCCTTAGATAAACAGTTGTAGTCATAGATGTAATCCTAGTAGCAATAACTTATAAAGCAAATATACCAGTATTTTGCTAAATGATCCAATAATTGCAATAATAACCTATTAAGTCAGGCATCGTCAAACTCTACTGTAATATGGCAACTCCTGAAATGATAAATGAATTTGTATGACCCATTCCATGAACAAAACTAATGATCTTATTGGGTTGGGCAAAAAATAAATATACTCTTAGTTTTAATAACTAAATGTTAATCTGTATGTCACAGGGTATTCTACCTTTCTTTTTTTATAGGGACTTTATTAAAAATTACAATAAAAACTAATACAAATAATAATAAAAAAGAAAAGAAAAAAAGAAAAATAGAAGATGCAGAAAAGAAAAAAAGAAAAAAGAAAGAAAAATAGAAAGAAAAAACAAGAATATAGTAAAGAAAAAGAATGTGTGTGTGTGTGTGTGTGTGTACACGCATACATACATAAAGAAATGAGTTCCCCTTCATCACAGCAAGTATAAACAATTTTAGTAACTTATCACCTTATCTTAAAATACAATAAATAGCTTCTTCTTCCCATATCCCACCTCTTATCTATAAACAAATCTTTAAAGCCTTGTCATTTCAGTCCTGATGTCAGCAAAAGTCTATTAAGGGTTACCAGAAATAACAACATGTCTATTTTAACCTATTTAAACCAACTTTATTCCTTCCGTTTACTTCTAACAATCTTTAGTCCCTTCAAATAATGTCCTAGAACTTAATTTCTTTTCACTTTTATTTTGTCCCTTCTCACAAAATTCTTCAAAGCTTTAACAAGCCTGTTTTGTAAATCCAATATAGGAAAATTATCCAGGTCACTCTCTTGGTTTGTTATTTGTATATTCCCTTTTAATTATTAAGACATCAGCAGGTTTCTTTTGTATGTCCAGTGTAACATCTTTTTCCATGTCATTCTTGTAGAACTTAATTTCTTTTCACTTTTATTTTGTCCCTTCTCACAAAATTCTTCAAAGCTTTAACAAGCCTGTTTTGTAAATCCAATATAGGAAAATTATCCAGGTCACTCTCTTGGTTTGTTATTTGTATATTCCCTTTTAATTATTAAGACATCAGCAGGTTTCTTTTGTATGTCCAGTGTAACATCTTTTTCCATGTCATTCTTGTAGCCTATCATTTTTAAATCCACTTTCAATCAGTCTCGGTCTTGTTAGGTAAAACTTGCTGCTCTTCCATTACATATTTTAAACACAGTCTAACTATAGAGGCAGACACCCTTAAAATTAATGTCTGGGTCCATTGTTCAAAAATATCCTTCAATATGTCCAATGTTAAAATATTTTGCTTTATTCTGTATTTATGAGTTTAAGTGTTCTTCTTCTTTAATTGTAATCTTTAGTTCCTTCTAGTTTCCTTTAGCATCCAATTTTTAAACTCTTATCTTATTAAATATTTTTAAAAGAATTCAAAACAAAAGCATTTTCCCATGGGGAGGATTCTTCATAATTAATTACAAAATCTTATTTCAAATTTATCTGTATCCTTATCCATTTGTAATTTTCTAAAATCAGAGTTTTAATCACCCTTTTGCTGTTTATCTGTGCCCCCCCCACACACAATTTTTTAAAGCCCTTAAACTTGTATTCAAAACTTATTTCACTAAGGATTGAAGGAAACTCACCTGGTGCTGTAAAACATATGATCCAAAGGCTCCTAATATCTGAAAAGCAGTTTCCGAAAGTGATTAGAAAAGGAAGTATGCAAATTTAGTGTTCTTTCAAAGGCACTGACCGTGGTTTGAGCAAAATGGCTATTCTCTCATCTTCCAGAGCTCTCAACCTGCCCAAGACCACTGTTTCACCATCACTTCATGAGAAGCAACTGCATGGAGCACTTGTGGGTGATCTCAAGTCATCTCCTTGTCTGGAGAGGAATTACGAAGAGCTGATCTATTCACCAGCTCTTCATTCTGCTGTGGTCATTGGCTCTGGTTTTTGCGGAGCTGTCTTCAGTCCACCATTTCTTCCCTGAAAGTCCTGGATTCCACCTTTCCAAACCCTACAGTATCGCTACTTCCCACTGAAGGCAAAGTGAGCAGCAAAGCCCAGAAGAGTTGTCCCCAGAGTCAAGCTGATGATCATGATGGTGTAATTAAAGTGTCACCCATTTTTGAGGCACATTGTAGGTAATGTGTTGTGGTTGCAATTGACTTTTTTTTACCACACCCTGTGACACCCCTGAAGCCCAGAATGAGATTTCACAATGTCCAGCTTGCACAAGCCTGATTAAGGTTGTTTTTTTTCCTTAAAAAATTGCAATCCCCCTATAGTGCTGTTTTATTAAACTGTGACAAGGAATTTGGGTCTAACCATGTGGTTCAAGTTTGCAAGTCCCCCCCCTTTTTTTTTAAAAAAAAAGTGGCTTTTAAAGACAGCAATTTAAATCACTGCAGCTGCTTTTAGCTGTTACTAAAAAGCAGGCTAGAAATACATATATTTATAGACCTTTTTGTGTTAGTCATTTTCTAAGTCCAAATCATCCTCAAGCTACCTCCATCACTGGATTCCCAAGGGTGATTTTATGTGGCTGAATACCTACCACCAGGTGACTGTGAGTGGGAGAATAGATGGTCAAAAAGTCACCCAACATTTATTTCCAATCCACCCTTGTCGCAAAACCATAATTCCACCCCCTGCTTTTTTTTTTTTTTTTAATGAAAAGAGTTGTGGAAACTTGTTTGTGCCTGACAAAATGTCACACCAATAGGCAGCACCTCTCTCTGAGAAAAAGAGAAATTGCACCAAAGGAACAATGGAATTCATAATTTACAGTAAGTATGCTTAACAGATACAACAAATTGAAGCACATATATATTTGAGCTTCTTTGAAAACAATATAATTCAGCAATCAGTATGGTTGCCAGTGTCCACCAGGTGCCTCAGCCCTCTCATAATGTCCATGGGCGTAGTAGTTGAAGAGAATCTGAGAGGGCAGAGAGTCAGGTTGCTGGTAAAAATCTTCCAGTTCAGCTAAAAAAACTCTGCTTCAAGCAGAATAATATCAAAATGAGAAAGAAGTAAAACATAGTAATTTAGTGTTCTAAATTATAGTATTTAGGGCTTTAAACTGGACATTTCTCCAGGAATTCAGAGGAACAGTCTGTACAGTCCACTGTTGCCAAAAAAGGCAACTTTTGCCACTCTTAATGATAAGCTCTTGAAATGCCACAATGCTTTGCAATTATAGGTTATGCAGCAAGAATATGGTCTCCACATCACCTGAGTTTCTGAATGCCACAGGCTAAACTGGTATTCATCTCTACAGATGCAACAACTAAAGAGGTGAGAAATGTTGCTGACAATAATAGAATTTCAGTTATGGGGTCTTTTGGCAATCCGACAGTAATTCCAAAGGATCTGGTTTGCAACAAATCACCCCCTGAGTGAAGTGGGCTAAAATTACATACCTTTGTCAGAATGGAGGATCTACAACCCAGTATTTCTGGAAGACATTGATCAACATATATTGATTCCAAAGACCATTGTAGAATTATTGTCCTATACCCTCTGTGGTGAACTGGAAATATACCAGCTACAAACTGTAAGTGACTGCTACCTCCATCACTGCAGTTATGGCTTTAACTTGTTTTTTAAAAGAGTTTTGTTATTGTTGTATTGTCGAAGGCTTTCACGGCCGGCATACGATGGCTGGTGTGGGTCTTCCGGGCTGTGTGGCCGTGGTCTTGAAGTTTTGTTTCCTATCGTTTTGCC